CTTTTCAACATCAGAAAATGAAAATGCAGAGTTGGGGGCAAATAGAAGACATGAGAAAACAAATCTAGTGGTCAGGGAGAAGCTTTCAGGTCTACCTGAATCCTTATCAAGCATGTCAGAGCAACACAAAATGACTAAAGCTTAGCAGGCTCTCCCTGTTCTTACTTTGTTTTTAATAGCCAAAGAACCTCTCTCTCTAGAAAAAATATGAACCTTTTGCTTTTTAAAAAGGAGAAGGGCCGGGCGCAGTGGCTCAAACCTGTAATCCCAGCACTTTGGGAGACCGAGGCGGGTGGATCACCAGGTCAAGAGATCGAGACCATCCCGGTCAACATGGTGAAACCCCGTCTCTACTAAAAATACAAAAAATTAGCTGAGTGTGGTGGCACATGCCTGTAATCCCGGCTACTCGGGAGGCTGAGGCAGGAGAATTGCCTGAACCCAGGAGGCGGAGATTGCGGTGAGCCAAGATCGCGCCATTGCACTCCAGCCTGGGTAACAAGAGCGAAACTCCGTCTCAAAAAAAAAAAAGAAAAGAAAAGGAGAAAACCCAGCACTTCCAGAGGCCGAGGCGGGCGAATCACCTGAGGTCAGGAGTTTGAGACCAGCCTGGCCAACATGGCGAAATCCTGTCTCTACTACAAATACAAAAATTAGCTGGGTGTGGTGGCATACACCTGTAATACCAGCTACTCAGGAGGCTAAAGCAGGAGAATCGCTTGAACCCAGGAGGCAAAGGTTGCAGAAAGCTGAGATCACACCTTTGTTCTCTGGCCTGGGTCACAGAATAAGACTGTCTCAAAAAAAAAAAAGGAGATAAAATAAAATAAAGCAAGCTTTTAGAGAGAATAACCTACTCCCAACCCCCTTTAAGATCCAAATTTTGTTACTTCCTCTAAGAAGTGTAGTGCACTAAAGTGTACTGGAGAGAACGTGAAGTGTCCGAAGTGGAACATCTGAAGTGCCTCATTCCCAGGGAGCCCACTGGCTCCTACAAGTAATCTAATGAAAGCTATGCATTCTCTCTGGGCTCCTCATACAAAAAAAGGTGATGTATGAAGCAAACCTTAGAAAGGATTCATTACTGGAGAATGCATACAGCTACTGGCTTTCTTCTTTTCTTTTTTTCCTCCTCTATAAAGCAAAAAAACAACTTGTCCCCCACTCAAGGCTCATTTAATCCTATAAGCTTCTTTGCTGGCCTAAGTATCCAGTGAAAATAAATTAGCAATCAAAACCAAGTCAGAAGTATATAATAAGCAAACACATGAAACAAGTTAACTTTAAATATTAACCTGCAGTCTAAGGGATTTTTTAAAAAAATTTAAAACAAACAAAAGAAATGACAGGCAAACTAGATACTCTCGGAAAATACACATGTACAAATGGCCTGTGCTCTGATCAAATGTAATTAAGCACTGAAGTTACTTGTCTTACATTGCTTAATTGCTTGAGAAATGCATCAGGCTCCCACAAAACCTAAGTATTTTTTCATCTGGCTCAGCACAAACTGGAACACATGTTTAAAATGACAAATAAAACTATTAAAATTATAAGCAGAACTGCACCTTGACTAACATTTAAAACTACATCAGAAAGTTCAAGAAAATTAAGCTAATGCAAATTAGTAGCATAACCTCGATACTAGTTCGTGATTATATTTTTATGGCTTTACTAAGGTTTAACAATAAAATGGGGTGTAGGTAAAAACTGTTCCCCCTCTTTTCAGAGGCCCCTGAAATAACAAATTGCAGCATCAGCTGGTATGTGCATTCAAGATTAAGCAAGATCGAACAGGGAATCATGACCAATATGCTCCATCTAAACATTACAGGCCTACCTCAGCAGCTATGATCAGGATGGGAGTGGATATGAGGGGAAAGGAGCAAAAGGACAAGGACAACTACAACGAAGATAATAATTATCATTTTTAATTTTTATTTTTTTGAGACAGAGTCTTGCTCTGTCACCAGGCTGGAGTGCAGTGATGCATTCTTGGCTCACTGCTACCTCTGCCTCCTGGGTTCAAGTGATTCTTCTGCCTCAGTCTCCTGAGTAGCTGCGACCACAGCCATCATGCCTGGATAATTTTTTTCTATTTTTAGAAGAGACAGGGTTTTACCATATTAGCCAGGCTGGTCTCTAACTCCTGACCTCATGATCCGCCTGCCTCAGCCTCCCAAAGTGCTGGGATTACAGACATAAGCCACCGCTCAAGGCCAAAGATAATTATTATAAAGGCAGCTAACTTTCTGTGAACTCTTATTATGTGCCAGACACTGTGTAAGTGCTTGACATATGGTAATTCATTCAGTTCTCTCCCTACAGGGCCAGTACTAGTATTAGCCCTACTTTAGAAATAAGAAAATCAAGACACGGAGGTAAAGTAACTTTCCTGTGTTAACACAGCATGAGGCGGAGCCAGCATGCAGACCATCCAACTTCCTATACTGAACTGTAGCCCATCTGTACTCAAAACACATCAACTAATTAGTCTCTGGCACTCAATAAGCAAAACAGATTTACCCTATGCCAAAAGCTGTTGGTCAAGGAGCATAAAGAATAAAGCAATACTGCCTAAAACTGCATGCTATGGGGTAGAGTGCAAAACCAGATCACCTAAACCACTGGAAAAAAACATTGCTCACAAATGTTTTATAGGAAAGATGGTTTCCTTCCACAGGATTAGAGCTGTCAACTAAAGTAACTGAGGTTCTTCCAAACTGTGTGACATAAGGATGAAACTACTGTTTCTTATGGTCATCCACTTTACAGATTTCTGGTCTCTATAAGCTTTCAGAATGACATTTCTATTATGTGTCCAGCCTATGGCATAAATAGATTTTTTCCCCTTAAGTTTCAAATGCACTTCTGGTCCAACTACACAAGGGTTTCACTGACAAGCACAAGCCTGTATTCTCCATTAATGTCAATCATTTCTCCTCCCTCCTTTAGCAGGTGAAAGCTCCAACACTATACCCATAATTGTAGGTGTTGCCCCTCTGCCTTTTAATGCAACACAACTTCCTTTTTTGGCCAATGATGGATGTAGCATTCCACAAACTGAGCACCCTGATTTTTTACAAAAGTTGAAGTGATGCTTTCTACTTAGTATCTAATCCTTTTCCACTGCTGTCTTCAAGGACACCAGCGGCAGTTTCTGGACCCATTTCCTATAATGTTACTGGGTTGCTTAAGGCCCTAATGTCTTGTTACTAAGATGTTGTTAAAATGTTTTTAAACAAATATATTGTTCTACTTCTGTCCACAACAAATCTCACTCCCACAGCTTTGGGAGATTTTGGTGGAGCCTGGGAATACAAACATACTCAAACTACACTTTCTCTTGAGTACAAGGCGTGGAACTTTTAGGTTAAAGGGAGTTACTCCTCCCAGCCCACATACAACATAGATTATGGGGATACTATAACCTAGCAGCCAGGGGTGCCACACAGGAAAAAGGGCAATGTATGTCCAAAATTACGGTCTCAGAGGAAATCCGGGACTATAAGAAGTCAGATAAATAAAACATTACAGGAATATACATGTTAGAAGACAATGCCATCAAATAAAAATGTTGCGAAAAACTTGCAAGGAGGAGAAAATTGAGATTTATAATACCTAACAGCAAAGGGTTTTTTTGTTTCTGTTTTTAAAAAGCAAGCATGAAAGAATAGACTTTGTTAGAAACAGATATTGAAAAGCAAACTTTCTCATGATTGTAGCCACTGTAGTATTGTCCCTAAGAAAAATTAGACGACTGTAACTGCCTCCCACAACAAAACAAATTGCAAAGGACTGAAATGCTAATATAATCAGCTAGGAAATGAAAACCATGGTTCTCCAATGTGAGCTGAAATGGAATAATTTTTAAAAAATTACAAGCATTACAGTACCCAGGTAATCAATCACGCGCACAACTGGGCCTGCATCACAGCCCAGCAGAGCAATGGAAAAGTCTTGAAGATGCACAATGGATAAGAGACTTGTTCCGGCTGGGCGCAGTGGCTCACACCTGTAATCTCAGCACTTTGGGAGGCCAGGCGGGCGGATCACCTGAGGTCAGGAGTTCGAGACCAGCCTGACCCAAATGGTGAAGCCCTATCTCTACTAAAAATACAAAATTAACCGGGCGTGGTGGTGGGGACCTATAATCCCAGCTACTTGGGAGGCTGAGACAGGAGAATTACTTGAACCCGGGAGGAGGCGGTTGCAGTAGGCCGAGATTGCGCCATTGCACTTCAGCCTGGGCAACAAAAGCAAAACTCCATCTCAAAAAAAAAAAGAGAGAGAGAGAGGGTGAGAGAGAGCCTAGTTCCGCAGCTTCATCCGCCCCTCCCACTCTCCTCAGCGCCAAAATCACAAGTAAGCTCAGAACTCTGCACAGACAGCATGATGTCAAAGGTCAAAACCAAGACTTCAGCAAGCTTCCATTAGGTGACTTTACAAAGTGCTACAAAAGTCATGTCTATTATTATTCTTTACAACTCGGCAAGCGAAGGAAACACCGGGGAGAGCCGTGTGGGAGAGAAAACTACTTTGACAGACTACACGATTACAAAATAAAAAATTTTAAAACTGATAAAATTAAAACTGATCACAGTTCAAGTCTCTGGCAGCAAACTCCCGTTGGAGCCGAGCAGCGGCAAACGCATTATGCCTGAACTTTGTGCACACATAATTCTTTCTTCTCTCGCACCGCCCGGTTCCAAAATACATTCAGCGCCCCTCTCCACTGAACCTTCATCGGGCCTTAGGGGCGGCCAGAATTTTCCAAACGAGGAAACTCAGGATTGGCCCGGAACCCTGAATTTTGAGGGGAGTGAGACTTGCGCCCTCACAGGCCCAGACACGTTGTATTTCAACTACATCCGGGAGGGGCGGTGTGAAAACTCCCGGGTGTTGGGCGGGCGCAGGCCCCTCGCGGCCAGTCCCACCAGAGCCTCCACCTCGGGATGGGCGGCCAAGCGCGTGGGCACGCTGCAGGGAGGGCCGCTTACCTGGGCGATGCCGGAGCCCATCAGCCCGCCGCCGATGACCGTCACATGCTTGACGATGATCTTCTTGACTGAGGCCGAGGCGGTGGACGAGGAGGACACGGAACGCACGAACTGCCTTGTGACGAAGGCCATGGTGCGGCAGCAGCGGCGACAGCGACAGGACGCGGGAGGGGAAAGCGCGCGCGGCAGGCAGCAGAAGACAGCCAGCCTCTGGGGGCGGGGACCCAAGTAGCGCTGCCGCCTGCGCGCCCCCGACGTCTTTGTGACGTCACTAGGGGGAGGGGCGGGGCCTCGAGGCCCGCTCTGCCCATTGGCCTGGGTCGCCCGGGACCGCTTTCTAACATCCCAGCGCCGCGCGGGTACAAGTGCGTGGGCTCGCAGCTGTCTGCCGCGGCAGCCCCGGGTGAGCATGGGCTTGGGACCTACTGAGCAGCGGGACCTGGCGGCTGGCGTTCTGGTGTGGGGCCGAGAATAAACCCTTCTTCTGAAAAGCCACTGGCCCGTTGTTAAATGAAGTGAGTGGTGTCGACTTTGTAAATGCTGTCCTTTGATGCGTGTGCATATCTAGTCTCTGAAGAAATATGTGCTGCTCAAAATGTGCACCCCTGATTGATGTTTCCAAATAACCAACTCGGGATTATTTAAATCCCGTGGATAGTGATTGTTTACCCTAAAAGGGAAAGAAATTTAGACTGCGAACACCCAAAACCAATGTCTAGTGACCCATGAGTTCCAGTGCAAAAATCAGGCTCAGGGAGGGTAAAGGGAGAGTTGACCTTTAGTTACCCATCTTGACATTAAAGGTCTATCAGTGCAGCGAACGTGTGGACGGTTTAGCATCATAGAGCAACCTTTGTGGAATAACCAATACTATTAGAAAGCATAGGAAAGAAATGTCAGCTAACGGAAGACTTGATTGCAATTTGGCCAATCTTCTCACTCAGGTAAATACTTTCTCATTACTTTTACCTTAGTGATATAGGATTTTTATTAATTTATTAGCTTTATGTTTAAATATTGTTAACAAAAACCTTAAACAAATTAAGTTTGGCAGAGTTTATTTGAGCAAAGAAACCGTGAATCAGATAGTACCCTAAACCAGTAAAGGTTCAGAGAGCTCCAGCCAGTAACAGTGGGCAAGCAGTGTTTACTGACAGTATTTTTCGCAGCCTGTAATGGGCTAAAAGCCCTGCTGCTGTGATTGGCCAAGACTTGGCTACTAAGTCTTGGCTACTAAGTAAGAACATACTCTCAAGTTACACTGCAGTTTATTTACATATTAAGTTTGACTATACTTTGCTAGGTAGGAAGGCAACTTTAGGCCAAATTTATTTTAACAACAATTTCCTCCTTTGGGTCAGCCTCTCAGTTTTAAGAGATTAACCAGAGCATTGTTTTGTCTCAGTTTGGAAGTCACAATGTCAAATTAGTTGAGTTACTATACTTTCTTCATGTTGTTATTCTAACTGTAATAACACCATTTGGTGTACAAAGGTTGGCGGCATAGAGACATTTAAGACTCTGGAGGGGAAACACCGCATGAGGGAAACTATTATCACCACGAGGAGAACAGCAGTAAACTGAGGTACGTGCCTTAACAGGAGACTCTACAAGCTGAACCGATAAAAATCAAACAATTCAAAGTTCAGGCAATAAAGGTAGTTCAAAGTATTTGACTCCAGTTGGTCATAGTCTAATTTAGGGCATTATGGTGATTAAGGACCATAGTTCGCTGAATGACCTGATTCGGCCTTATGGCCTTATTTAAAGAGGTATCCATTTTTGTAGTTAGCGTGGTAACACAAGTTATAGTAACCTGGAGACCCGCTAAGGAGACGTAAAAGTTAGAAAAGTTTGGAATAGCCTAGCTTGCCATTTCCTACTCAGGGTGCCTGCAGAACAACTATTAGCCACTCCCATAAATGTATCATGTGTTCCTTTCCCCTGAGAAATTTCCTTACAATATTCAGTGGCAGTGTCTAGTGAAACAGCAGTGTCTGCCACCTTTTAAATTAAGTTTTCTGTGGTAGGAAAAATAAGTCCAACATTCAGTTTTATTCAGCATCATACAAAAGCCACCAGCACGAGCAAAGGGGGATCCAAAGCTGTGTAATGTTCCATGAAGTGTGTTTGTTAAATGAGGAGATCCAAAGCTGTGTAATGTTCCATGAGGTATGTTTGCTGAACACAAATGTTTTCATCCACTGAGAACATTTGAGTAGTAGCTTCTACCCTCTGAACCTCTGGGAGGTCTGACTTGCTACAATTAAAAGATTTTCCCTGATTTACAGATTAGTTTCAAATTCCATACAACAGGCACCCTGCTAACGCTAAGAGTAAGTTCCAGCAACTCCATTGGAACCTTTCCTCAGTAGAAACTACTTATCTTCATCTATTTTTAAATTGGTGCTAACTTTGGTTATTGGTTATTTGGTTATAGACTGCTTTAACCTCTGATTATGGAAGGTATTTGGGAACTTTCAGGGAAAGCTATTCGGAGGTAGGAGCAAGCCTGGCCAAATAGCAAGATCTGAACCAGTGAGGAAACAGCAGAGTGAGCAGATTATCCACTGACCCAATATAGGCCCCTTATCCACTGACCCAATATGGGCCTTGGGGACTTGATAAGAGGGCCACCTAGTGGTGTTTGAGCAGAGGTCAGTTAAGTGTGTCCGCTCATAAGACAAAATCCAGTGGTAAACTTACTCCTCTGGTCCCTGTATAGCATGTTGTAAGGATGCAAACCACATCTAGTAGAAAGACTTTGCTGGATTTAATACAGTGATATCATATAAGCAATTATTCATACCCACATAGGTAGTCCCCAACATCTTGAGTGTGCAATGCCTGGAAGCACAAGATGCCTTTTGCAGACATCACTATGATAGTTTTTTTTTTTTTACTTTTATTTACAATTGGCAGATAATAATTGTACATATTTATGGAGTACAGTGTTATGTCTCAATGCATGTATATGTTGAACTATGGTCAAATCAAAGTAATTATTAAATAATATGTCTATCACTTTAAACATTTATTTTGAAGATAGCATTCAAAATCATCTCTTCTAGCTATCTTGAAATATACAATACATTATTATTAGCTGTAGTCATTCTCCTGTGTAATAGAATACCAGCTTTTATTCTTCCTCACTATAACTTTATACCCATTGACCAATCCCTTTGATCCAGATTTTCTATATTTGGTAATAGTTCAGTTATTAACTGGAAAGATCAAGATACTAATTTCAGCAAGTAGCAGTGATGTGTAGCGTATCAAGGATAACTTTCCTCTCTTTCCATGGGGTTGCAGGGTAACTCTCATTAGGAACACAGAGAGGCATTAGCGTTAATGAAATTGTTTCCAGATTTTGGAGCGTTAACTCATAAACCCAACAGTTACTCTGGTTTCTTAGAGACCATGAGACTTTGCCAAAGCCATCCACAGAGTGTCATCCCAAGTTGACAAGGAAATTCAGTTATTTCTGTTGCATACAACATTTTGAGATAATAACTAGAAAGATTATTAATAATCTTTTAGATTAAACTGTTAGATTTCTGTTAATTTCTTACAACTTCTAAAATACATATTAATAACATATCTATACATATATAATTCAAAAAAGGTTTAGCATTATTTAGGGTTTTCCTAAAGAAAGGGAAGGAATTAGTATTGCAGGAAATAGAGGGAAAAAAAGGAAAAAAAGATAAGGCTTTCCTGATAGCAAAGAACTCTTGATCTGCAATATTATGAAAGCTGTCTACATATAGGATGCCATCTGTTTCTAGGGAAAAACTTCCCTGATCAGTTTTCTTTCTTTTTTTTTTTTCTTTCCCCAGGCAGGAGTACAGTGCTGTGATCTCAGCTCACTGCAACCAGCGCCTCCCAGGTTCAAGTATTTCTCTGCTTCAGCCTCCTGAGTAGCTGAGACTACAGGTGCATGCTACCACACCCAGCTAATTTTCATATTTTTAGTAGAGATGGGGTTTTACCTTGTTGGCCAGATGGTCTCAATCTTTGACCTTGTGATCCACCCACATCGGTCTTCCAAAGTGCTGGGATTACAGGTGTGAGCCACGGCACCCAGCCCAATCAGCTTTATTTCAAGTTCTTCAATAGGTGTACAGTTCCAGAAGTCTACAGGAGCTCTTTTGTGGTGAGAAATGCAGATCCAAGATTCAAGGCCTTGAAGTTTGTTGCAGAAAAGAACTTGGTATGGTCCCTTTCAACCGAGTTCAAGTAATGTGACTTCTCTGGTGTTATTTCCAAAATACCCCATCTCCAGGTTCTATATTATGAAACATTTCTTTGTCATCAGTTGATGGGTCATGAAGGACTTCTTTCACCTGGTAAAAATATGCTTTGGCAGATGCATTCAGTAGAAGATACATGAGACTTTATTATTAGGGGTATAAGCCTTCCAGTAACTATTTTATAAGGGATCAATTTATGTTTTCCAGTGGGAATGATCTTATTGCCCTCAACCAAACTGACCAAGGCAACCTAATCAATTCAATTAGCTTTTCTTATACTGTTATATTTATAATACCTATTTAACTGTTTGACAACTTGTCTAGTGAAACGAGTACCTCTGTTGCTGGAAATTTCTCCAGCAGTGCTCCATAAGGGAAACACGTTTTTCAGTAACCTTTTAGCATTGGCCTTCCGGCATTGGAACTCTTCTATATAACCAGAAAACATGTATTTAAAGTAGAAATTGAATGAAAGCCATTTGTAAGTGTTCAGGAACTGTATCATTTGAAGTTTTTATTGTCTTGCCACAATTATGGGTTTGACAAACCAAGCATTAACTGTTTTAGCAATTTTGTAACAGTCACTCCACTGATCTTTTTTTCATAATTTGAATCATTTTATCTCCTCCATAATGAATTATAGAATGCAGAGCTTTTAATATTGAAAGATTTAAGACTCCAGAAGAACCAAGCAGCCATCCAAGTTCTTCCTGCATTCAGACTTAACACCGGATTTACATTCTCTTAAATACCAACTTTGTCTCTCCAGTTCAGGTGCTTATAGCACTGTTTATTAAATATGTTTTATCAAATGTAATTTGACTTGGATCAATATTATAGAGTTAATTCAAATTGTAAATCTTAATTTCAGTACTGGCTTAATCAGCACAAAATTCTGCCCAGGTAATCTCCTTGTTATTATTTCTTGTTCTGCATGATATTAGGTTAGCAATTTTATGAATCGGTCAATTTCTTCATTAGAGTCCTGGAAATTCTTACCCAATCCAATGGTATGACTTTAAAGTTAGCAGAAACCTATACTTCTCAGAGTTTTTCCATGAATCTCCTTAAAGACGAACAGTTTAGGCTTACGGTTTTTCAGGAAAGTGTCAGAATAAACAATTATCTGTGAATGACAAGTCTTAAAATGGCCATGACTTTAAAGTTCTGGTAAGAGTTCATTACGATAGTGACAAGAAAACTCAGTTACTTCTATTGTAGTCAATATTTTAAGACAATAACTAGAATTATGACTGATAGCTTTATAGCAGGACTATTAGATTTCTATGAATTTTACACAATTTCTGAGATAGAGTTTCACTCTTGTTACCCAGGCTGGAATGCAATGGTGCAATCTCAGTTCACTGCAACCTCCCCCTCCTGGGTTCAGGAAATTCTCCTGCCTCGGCCTCCTGAGTAGCTGGGATTACAGGCACGCGCCACCATGCCCAGCTAATTTTTATATTTTTAGTAGAGACGGGGTTTTACCAAGTTGACCAGGATGGTCTTGATCTCTTGACCTCGTGATCCACCTGCCTCAGCCTCCCAAAGTGCTGGGATTACAGGCTTGAGCCACTGCACCCAGCCCTTCTGAAATTCATATTAATAACACATTCATATAAATATAATTCCAAAAAATTTAATATTATTTGATAATGCTTCCCATATGATTTAATATATCAGATCAGCTCAAGTAGTTTAATATGTCTCTTTCTATAAGGAGAGATATTCTTTTGAGATTTTCTAAAGGCGCATATGGAAAATCTCAAAGTTAAGACTTAATTTAGAGTTTTATTTTGGAAAGTTTATCAAAAATATTAAAGGTTTAAAACATTTTATCAAAAAAATTCACAGGTCACTGTGAACAATAGTTGTTCATTTAATCAAAGTGATAATTTAAAGACTTCAAAGGCAAATACAGAAAGTTGCATAGTTGTAACTTACATCTTTTAATAAAGGGGACTTGGTTTTCATAAGTGATCAAAAACCTGATAAACACAATGTGAAGCACCAGAAATTATCTTGGTAAAATACAGAATCTTTGCTTCCTAGGCCAATTATATAAAAAGTAAAGGAAACCTTTTTAAAATTTCCTCTCAAGAGCAGGCCAATAATTCAAGAAAACCTTATTGTTTTAACAGAGAGGACTACATTCTAGTTTTGCATCAGCGTATGTTTGATATTAATACTCAACTTTTGGAGAAACTCATAATTAATTTTTTTCTAATATTAGCCAGCTTAATCACACGTAAAATTCCATTCATAAGATTCATCTTCCAGAAAACTTCTGTAACTTCCTTATCTGTTCAATTTTTCTCCTATACGTTTTCTCTTCATATTTTGGAACAACTAGTCATTCTACTTGATGATAAAAGCTATTCTTTTTTTTCCCTTAACAAAAAAATTCTTATACCTTATAACTTTTTCTTACCCAAGAAGCACATCTTAACTTCCTTATATACTTGCATATAGAGTTTTTCTCTATTTCTAATAATTCTATATATTAAATAAAATATGTTAATTAGAATTCTTTTTTTTTTTTTTAGATGGAGTCTTGCTCTGTTGCCCAGGCTGGAGTGCAGTGGCGTAATCTTAGCTCACTGCAACTTCCACCTCCCAGGTTCAAACGATTCTCCTGTCTCAGCCTCCCATGTAGCTGGGACTACAGGCACCCACCACCACACCAGGCTAATTTTTGTATTTTTAGTAGAGACGAGGTTTCACCATATTATTGGCCAGACTGGTCTTGAACTTCTGACCTCATGATCTGCCCATCTCTGCCTCCCAAAGTGCTGTGATTACAGGCTTGAGCTACTGTGACGGGCCAGTTAGAATTCTTAATCCTTAGTGACCTTAATTGCCTATAAATACTAGGAAGCAAGCAATTGTGAACTGTCACATCACTCATCTGTACCTTGGCAAATCTATGAATCATTACTTCCAGGAAAATGTGCTGTCTTATAGTACAATTTGACTGTGCCCCAGAACATGTTTGTTAACAATTACAAATATCTTTGGTCTGTCAGTAATAAAAAACTGTAGAGGAGACAAAATTTCATCTCTACCCTCTTAGGTTTTCTTTTTTCATGGCTAAGCCTGAGAATTAAATTGTTTGTATAGATTTCCTTCAACTTCAGTTTTCCATCTTAAGGATAAGAATCTTAAAACCTTCTAGTATAGGAAGGACTCCTATATGGGAAGTTTTCTTACATCTGTTTAACTCACTTATTTTTAACAATTATGCTTAGATTGCTTATAAAGATGAAACAGTAACAGCTAGTCATCATCTAAGTTATTTCTCTTGCTGACATATCTTGTAATCCAGAGATAACATAAGTTCATTTTACCAGTTACATATTCAGAGTTTTAAGCATTAAATATATTACAGACATGTAACTTTTCCTACAGTAGGACAATGGAATCAACAATATTCTTATTTACCAAGATCACCCAAGTAATGTGAACTTGAAAGGATTTGAGCTCTTAATTTTCTGAGTGAATACTTTATTTATATTAGGACTTATTTTTTAAAAAGCCAAAGAAATAAAGCTTTTTTTCAGTTTAATTTGCCAATATTATAAGGAGATATAAAAATATCGCATATATGTATCTTACCTACACATCTGTCCATAAACAGATAAACAGACACAAGTCTTCTATAGCTTTTATTTAAAAAATTTAGCCATTTGCTAGGCACAATAATATAAAACTCACTAATTCATTTAAAAATATCTGAACCAAAATTGCTTTCCTGGCCAGTAGAATAAGATTTCCTGCCCCCATGGGTAAAGCTTTAAATTATATTTGTGGAAAAGATATTTAAGATTTTTTTCATTTGCTTTCTGTAAGGAACCTTATAAAGAGACAATCTTTGCTTTATTTAATATTTTAGATGCCTCTACATACCAATTGTAAAATGTATCCCATTGCTTTTTGGCATTTTGTATTCTTTTTTTAATGTCCCCACAAGTGAACAATTTTATGTATGTTAAAATTTCCCCATTATAACAACTATAATTCTAAGTTGTCCTGTTAAGGGACATTTTTTTAAAAAACACTGGGCCCATAATTTTTGTGCACAAAGTTAGCTGGTGTACCAAAAAGTGGAGTCCCAGATTCTTGGAATCCCAGACATTTGTTGTTGTTGTTGTTGTTATTGTTGTTGATGAGATGGAGTTTCACTCTGTCACTCAGACTGGAGTGCAGTGGTGTGATCTTGGCTCACTGCTATCTCTGCCTCCTGAGTTCAAGTGATTCTCCTGCCTTAGCCTCCCAAGTAGCTGGGATTACAGGTGCCTGCCACCACACCTTAGTAAAGATAGGGTTTCACCATGTTGACCAGGCTGGTCTTAAACTCCTGACCTCAGGTGATCCGCACACCTTGGCCTCCCAAAGTGTGAGCCACTGTGCCCAGCTAGAATACCAGACTTTTTAAATTTGGAGAAACCCATTTTCAAAAGATACCAACCTCAGGCCTCTGACTGGATCCAATCCAGTTACTTAGATCCAATCAGATCCCAGACCCAGTTCAGGAAAACTCCTCAAACTCAGAGAGGTCAAAACAAAAATTCATAGAGCTTGAATTTAAGAGAGAATGCTGCCATGATCCCAGTTGCCGTGAGAGATCAGTGGGCACATGATCCCTGGTGAGTATCTTCACTTGGTCATACAGTGCTCCTTTGTGTCCCTGGAGGTCTACTTTGGGTCCTACTTTTGATACCAATCTATTAAAATAAATACTTTAGACAAATTAAATATTAGTAGAGTTTATTTGAACAAAGAAAGTGCATGAATTGGGTAGCACCTTGAACCAGTAACAGTTCAGAGAGCTTCACCCAGCAATAGTGGATAGGCAGTATTTATAGACAGAAAAAGAAAGTGACATAAAGAAATAACTTGGTTACAACTCTTTATCTGCCTTATTTTGTCATGGTCTGAGCAGTGGTAGCTTGTAATTGGCTGAAATCTCAGTTGGTATGATTGGCTGAGACATGGCTACTTGTTATAAGAATATACTCTCAAGTTAGATTGTAGTGTGTTTACATATTAACATAGGTTAAAGTTTGCTGTGTATGGAGAACTTTAGGCCACATTTAATTTAACAATATATAATAAAGACCCACAAACATCAAACAAGTCCTTCCCCTACTAGAAGTAACTGTCATAGTGGGTCCTGTGCTCCCTTTTTCTTTTTTTGCTTTGATCTCATCTTTATATCTAATTCTGTAAAAAAAACATTCAGAAAGCACTGTTGTTGAGCACCCTTGTTAGACTTAGGAGATCACTACGGGCAGAAGAGAAAGTGTTAGATTCAAGTAATTAAAGTCCATTACATGCTAGACTGTAGCAAATGCAAAAACTTATAGTATATAAATGTAAAAGGAAGATTACACAGACAAACTTAGTAACTTGAAGCATGAGTCAATTTATGAAGAAAGAGAATTTGCTTCAGCGGAAGCAACAAATTCAAAGGCAGAAGCATGAGAAAATGCAACAGGTAAAGTGAGCGAGGAATTAGGTGTGGTTAGAAATGAAGCTAGGATGGTAGGTTGGGAGGATGATTAGGTGGGTTTTAACTTTTAGATCTCATTTATAACATATAAAGTTATAAATTTTATAAAATTTATAAATTGTATAATGTTATAAAATTTATATATATATATAATTTATATCTATATATATATATATATATATGCCAAAGACAGTCTAATTACAGTGTTGTCATATATGTTTTTTTTTTTAGACGGAGTTTCACTCTTGTTACCCAGGCTGGAGTGCAATGGCATGATCTCCGCTCACCGCAACCTCCGCCTCCTGAGTTTAAGCAATTCTCCCGCCTCTGCCTCCCGAGTAGCTGGTACTACAGGCATGTGCCATCATGCCCAGCTAATTTTTGTATTTTTAGTAAAGATGGGATTTCACCATGTTGACCAGGATGGTCTCGATCTCTTGACCTTGTGATCCACTCACCTCAGGCTCCCAAAGTGCTGGGATTATAGGCGTGAGCTGCCGCTCCCAGACCCATATATGTTTTTAAATGAAATTTGTGTGTAATGGGCAGCAGTGATGCCTAAGTATGGTACATTTTCAGATCTGTAATTCTTTTCCTCAGAAAAAAAGAATAGCTACTTGTCTTAGTCTATTTGAGATGCTAAACAAAATACCACTAGTTTGGTGGATTATAAACAATAGAAATTTATTTCTCACAGTTCTGGAGGCTTGGAAGCCCAAGATCAAGGCATCAGCAGATTCATCCTTCTTCCTGTTTAATAGATTACTTCTTCTCGTTGTAACCTCATATGGTAGAAGGGGCAAGTGAGCTAGCTCTCTGTGGTCTCTTTTATAAGGTCACTAACCATTCATGAGTCTGCCCTCATGACCTAATTACCTCCCAAAGGCCCACCTCCAAATATCTTCACAGTAGGATTCAACATACGAATTTTGAGAGGACACAAACATTCAGTCCACAATACTGCTGTAGTATTTTTTTTTCACAATTCTCAAATATGAGGTACCTATAGTATGTAAAGATGTGGTGTGGCCAGGTGCAGCAGCTCATGCCTGTAATTACAGCACTTTGAGAGACCAAGGTGGACAGATCACTTAAGCCCAGGAATTTGAGACCAGCCTGGGAAACATGGTAAAGCCCTGTTTCTACGGAAAAAGAAAAATTAGCTGGACATGGTGGTGCTTGCATGTAGTCCCAGCTACTCGGGAGCCTGAGGTGGGAGCATCACCTCAGCCCAGGAAGGTTGAGCTACAGTCAGCCATTATCATGCCACTGCACTCCAGCCTGGATGACAGTGAGACCCCATCTGAAACAAAACAAAACAAAACACAAAGTGATGTAAAGGAAGGGGCACTGTAGCTAGAATTCAGTGTCCTGGCATGGTTGTTAGTGTGCCATATGACCTTCTACAAACACCCTTTCTTGGCTGCAGTGTCCTCATCTCTCAAAATAAATGGTTGGACAAACAGCATTCCAGCTGTTTTCTACTAAGAGTCTAACTAACAACGCTTACAGACTTCTGAAGCAGGAGGTCCACCACTACCCCTCGTCCTGCTGAGTGCTGATCAGATGAGTTACAATAGACTCATTCTTCTTTTGCCAGAGTGCAAATCATTTCCCAAATGTGGCCTTGGGCTTTCAGGAGCCCAGTAGTGACTTCTTTGGTCCCTGACTTGCACCCTCACCCTGTTATTGGAGTTGTGCTTCATTTATCTCTGTGAGAAGAGTGAAGTTTTGGCAAGTATGACCCTGGTCACTGAACTGGCTCAGAGACAGGAAGTGCTTTGGCAAAGGAAAGGGCTGGCACAGAGAACAGAGTAAGTAATGACTGCTTTTATTTTTGTGCCCTAAATGGATAATTATAGTACTTAGAAAATAGACATCATCACCATACCCCATGTAGAGATGAGACTCCCATGGGGGATGGGCTGATTTACAAAATGTATTGATTGGCTTGGGGCTGCTTTGCATTGAAATACATGGTAAAATCACTGGACTGTCTTCTACCCTTGCATTTCCCTCATTTGGGTGATTCAGGATCGTAAATAAAAATGTGACCATTAATGCTGGGGATCTGCTTTTGCCTTCCAGCTGTGCCTGTTTATTAGTTCCTAGAAATTGCATGCTTTCCTGGCCCTGTTTCTCCAAGGACTCTACCCTGAAGCCAGTAATCCAATTAAAAACCTGGCAAATAAAAAAATCTTAAACTACTGGATCTTTTGTCTGTCTGTGTATCTATATGTATTTTGTGTGTGATGTTTACATAAAAGAGCTCTGATTAATTGTCTTAGAAAATAAGCACTTAAATAAAATGTTTTGTCAAGAAAAAAATAGACATCAAAAAAACATTATTTAACAACATATATGATGGTGGGCTCTGAGAAGCAGGGTGTACAGTAGGTCTTTTGCCTCCAACATAGCAGTGGTGAGCAAAAAATATCAATGCTTTTCTGGTGTTCAAGCTTTATGAAGTAGGCAGGGAGAGAGCCGAGCTGACACAGTCTTTACACTGTCAAGTGATAGGAACATTGACTCAAGCACAGGATTTTTTAACCGCTAGGAGCATTTGGGGTTGGGATTCATAAGTAAGTTGGGATTTTCCTTCTATTTGTGGAAAATTAATAATTTCTGGCTTACTGGATAAAAAGTGAAAAATTAATACAGCCTCTCCTGTTTTGTTAAGCAATTTAAAAATTTCATACGGCAGAAAATCAGAAGTTGTGGCTGCTCAGAGTGGGCGCAACAGGAAAGTCCAGAAAGTTCAATCAAAAGCATACCTACTGCAAAATTAAAGATGGGTGACATGACCAGTCTTGTCAGAAGAGTTTTCAAGGAAATTGTCACATGATTTGCATAATTAAGACATAATTAGTTCAGAAGGGAATGATCATGTATTTGTATAGCCAACTGAAACATGCTCTCAGGATGACTTTATAAGGCGTATTAAGTAAAATCTCTAATAATACTGAATAATTTATCAAATAATTTTGTGCTGTTGAGCTTTTAGGTAAAAACTTTATCCTGGCAGACTTTAAACATCTTGTTATTTTCTTATTATGCTAGCAGTTGTTGCAATACCAGCTGCTTTCTACCTCCATTTTCTCCTTTACTTAGGAGAGCATTATGGCCTTCCCAAATAACAAGTTGAAATTAAAGTCTAGAAAGTATGAAGCATAGGACTCCTGGGAATAAAGTAGTCAAAACACATGCAAAACAAACATTTGTATTAAATACTGCCTTAGGAAAAAAGAAGGTGATGTGTAGTACAGCTTATGCAATCTTGATTCAGGGTTTTAGGCATGTTCTACAATCTGGGTGAGAGTTTATTTGGACTCTTTTGCTAAGGAGATGAAATGCTCATTCCACTCCATACATAGATTTTGCACACAGAGGGAAACAATTTCCTATTTTACTATAAGTATTAATGGCTCTGGGGATTCATTGAGTATAGATCAGCATTCTTTTTCTATTTTATGGGAAGGGAAAGATTTCTGAATTATTGAGAATGAACTATTTTTTCTAACCTCAGCCAGCAGTCTCCAAAATGCTTGCATGAGATCTTAAGACTCACCAAGTGAGACAATGAGGACCATGCAGTACCCATTCATTACTACCCAAGGGGGGAAGCACCTGCAGAATGTGTCCTTTCACATAAATTGCACCTTCTGATTTGTTTTCTTAGGATTTCCAGGTATAAAGTTTTATACAACGAAAACTAACCATTTACTAGCCTTAAAAACAATGATAATAATCATGGCCATCCCTTTGAGTAGTTTTTATATACCACTCAGGTTAAATGGTTTTGCATATAATATGAGCATTTACTGAACCCATTACTATTTTTACATCGTTCTGCGTACTTCATGTGAATTCATTCATTCACATGTATGAATGAATTATATGAATCCTTATAATAACCCTATGTGGTAGGTGCCAAGGGTACCCATCTTTTATAGGTAAGAACACTGAAGCCCAGAAAGGTTCAGAAACTTAACCAAGGCCACATGGCTAATGAATGGCACTGGCAGAATGCAAACCCAGGACAGTCTGTTTTCAGGGGTCATGTTCTTGACTGCATGCTGTTTTGCTTTTTCATAACAACCCTCAGGCTTTCATGCTATCCTCATCTAAAATGAAGAAACTGAGGTTTAGAGCATTTTAGCCATTTATTAAATGTAGCTCACATAATAACTGACCAGGCTCAGATTTTATCCTGGTCTGACTTCAAGGCTCTCATGCTTTTTGTAATTCCGTACTTATTAGACAGTACCCCTGCTTCTAGAGGGGGAAAAAGGAGGGAGATGTTCTCCAGTAAACATTATCTATGTTTAGATTTGGAGGTTTTGCTGTTATACTATTATCATAAAAATCAGGCAGATTAATATATTTGGCTATTCTTACTAATAAACCTCAGAGCTGCATGTTTCCCACAGTGATTCCCAATGCTTCTACCTGAAGAATCTGTAAGAATCATGTGTTTATACCATCTGATTTCCAGCATGTGGACTCTTTTTTTTAATTGCACTTTAGGTTTTGGGGTACATGTGAAGGACATGCAAGATTGTTGCATAGGCACACACATGGCAGTGTGATGTACTGCCTTCCTCCCCATCACCTATATCTGGTATTTCTCCCCATGCTATCTCTCCCCAACTCCCCACCCCTGCTGTCCTCCCCTGTTTCCCCCCTACAGACCCCAGTATGTAGTGCTCCCCTCCCTGTGTCCATGTGTTCTCATCGTACAACACCCATCAGTGAGTGAGAACATGTGGTGTTTGATTTTCTGTTCCTGTGTCAGTTTGCTAAGAATGATGGTTTCCAGGTTCATCCATGTCCCTACAAAGGACATGGACTCATCATTTTTTATGGCTGCTTAGTATTCCATGGTGTATATGTGCCACATTTTCCCTGTCCAGTCTATCATTGATGAGCATTTGGACTCTTGTTTCTCAAATACAAACATCCATTTTTAATTGTTTATTGCTCACCTCTCCTTGATAATTCAAATACTTATCAGATACTTCAAATGTAACTTGTCAAAATTTGAGCCTATTATTTCCTACCCACCACCCCAGTCAAATAGCTTCCACCTCTTCTTTCATTTGATATCTCAGTTCATTATGACCCCAGCCCCAACCAAGGGGCCTTGTGGTATACTGTGTATCAGCAGTTTGTTATTTTTATTACTGGATAGTATTCCATTGGATGGCTCTACCAGGTTTTGTCT